GGGAGACCTTCTCTTGGTGACAGTTCTGAACTCGGATATTCTGTGCTCCTCCTCCTCCTCCTGCCGCCTACTTTCACGATTTTTTCCAAAGCGGAAAAGCGTCAAAGAGTGAATCCTTTTCCACCGTCTGACCCTGTCTGGTCTGCGAGTCCCAGCGCCTGCGCCAGGGTCCGCGCTAGCGCCTGCGCCACCGTGCGCACCGCCGGGCAGATCCCCACTCCAACCCGAGACAAACAACCACGAGTCACTCGTGGGACCAGCCCACAGCAAATCAACCTCCCCTATTAGGGTGACGTCTTATCTGGCCTCGACTTAGAGAGACTGACAGAGTCTGATCTTTAAGAATGGCAGGGGAACCAGTCCCTGCTCTGAGATTGCGCTCCTTAAAGGTCCCATTAGGTTCCTGGGTGACACAAACTGTTCGCAATAGGCTGCTAAACCAAAAGTTGGTTATTAGCACCCATCCATGAGCCTCTGCGGAAGAAAGACCTGGCAACTGCTTTTGTAAAGATTACAACCAGAAAACCCTATGAAGCATTTCTATACTCTGTTACGTATGCGGTGGTGAGGCAGCTTTTCTAAAAGGGTAAAGTTGATCATTGGTGGTGCTGGATGAAAAAGCACACACATCAGCATACCAAGATCATGTAAATATTTTCTTTTTGGAAGCTAAGTAATTTGATTTTCAAATTTGCATTCAAACACCAGAATCTACTTCACATCATCATGGAGTGAGCAGAAAATGAAATAAAACCAACATGAAATCAAACTGGAGCCTAGAAAAAGGCAGCCTCTTAAAACACATTTTCTAAATATTTTCGTTCTCTCTGAATTAACTCCTTTAGTTCCCCTAAGGAGACAAATGCCCAAACAGTATTTTTCAAAGTGCAGCTAAAGCAGGAAGCGTGTTAAAATCAAATCTGGACTCTACTGGGAAACCCTAGAATGAGGGAATATGAACTAGGAGCTCTGCAGGTGACTGGGGCAGGCGCTGAAGCCCGTCTAGCTAAAAGATCTCAGTGGATACTTTTCAGTGGGTTTTGTTATTGTTGTTACTGATCACTGATTACAACCAATAAATACAGAAGCATTATTATTGATGCTATTTTTCAGAAGGATGTTTCCGATTTGACTGTGAGAAAGTCTACATAGCACAGGGAATTGCTTGTAAAAACAAGCAAAGAGAAGGAGAGGCTTTCTCTCACTCAAGTTACAGTCCAGTTTGAAGCTTCACCTGTGGGTCCTGAGAAGTGACAGATAGATTGAGTGAGAGGCTTCCTTCTCCTCCGGGTTTCTACAGGTGCTTCTAAAATGTAATTGTTTCTTTCTCCACATATCTCTCTAAGTCATGACCAGAAGGTCATGACAGGACACTTTCAACCTCTCAGTCTCAACTAATGACTTAAAGTGTCCTCCTTTTCAAATAGAGCTCAATATTTTGTACTTGAGCTAATTCAAGGGAAGCAGTATGGAGGGGGTGTGGGGGGGTGTGGGAAGGAATTGGGAGTGATAACTGAGGGGCCCCAAGGGATTTAGGGATGTTTAGATGGGGGTGTATGGGATGGAGGTCACCTTACCACTTTCCTGGGGCTCCTGGTATTACAATTCAGTTGTTCTCACTGTCTGGCTGTTCTATTTAGATGGAAATCATGAGATTCCCAGGCTCTGAGGTGGAGGTTAATGATTGGAATGGGGTCAGCACCTTAAAGATGAGAAATACTAATGTGTTCTGCACTCATTTGATAGTATCAAGCCCTTTTTTATTTTTAAAATATCTGACTATTCTGAATTTAGATTTCTAGAAAATAATTTCATAGGTAAAGAGTTCTGGACAAATTTGTAGGATACTGAGGAGGATGGAACGTGACACAGAGATTTCAAGATTGTGTTGATTGAAGAGAAATGTTTTAGTTTGTGCAATGAAAAACACATTGCTGCACATAAAAACAAAACAAAAAACCCCCAAAAAACAAAACACAAACAAAAACCCATGCATCCTTTTGAGCTTCTTGCCTAAGACTTCCAGTTCTGATGAATTTGGGTCTAGTCACAGATAGATCATCACAAGTTACTCATTGTGTATCATTGGATGAATATCAAACAAAACCAAATGCAATCATCTTCATTCCAACTTATGGCAACCCTCCATCGCATTTCCCAGGTGGATTTTTCAGTTAGCAGCCCAATACGTTACTCAATAACAATAGCAACATAATGAGTGAATAAATAAAACAAACCATTGCCATGGAGTTGGAACTGACTCATAGCTGACCTTCTAGCCTAGTTTTCAGAGGCTGTTACTGGCACAAGATGATTTTGGCCATCTTTTCCCACAGAGCAACTGATTAATTTGAACTGCCTTTCCTTGGGTTGTCAGTGCAACCCTTTACCCAAAAGGCCACCAGAGCTCCCTAATGGACAGATAACAATCCTCAGAACTTCAAGGTGGAAAGATGAGCAATCTCCTTCCTTACAATTTACTGTGTCTGAAAACCCAGTTAAGGGTGAGCTATAGATTGGTTCCAACTCAGCAGTACACAACACAGGTTATAGTTTTTAGAACAGAACCCCAGGCCTTTTGTCCCCAAAGAGCTACTGATGGATTGGAATTGCTAAATTCCAAGTTCAAAATGAATAGGTTTTTCTTTTTTTTAACAAAATAATTACTTTGAATCCCATTAAGACTTCATGAGATGAAAGAGTACAGTATGACGATGATGATTATAATAATTTTCATTGTTACTTTTTTCTGTTTCTGGAGATGGGAAGAATCCCGACCTTTCCTGGAAAGAGATGGAGGCAGAACCAGGGCTCAATCACATGCTCTGTATTCATAGGTCATGCTTTATGCGTAAAGTAAAGGCTGCAAATTCCAGATAGCAAGTGTAGTCCACTGTGGTAGAGTAGGTCAGAGTAGATCCGGGCCTTTTCCCAGGCTGTAACTCTGAAGGTGAGCCTTATCTGTCTCATCAGGAGCAGAAAGTGGGCTCGAACTGCTAATCTTTTGGCTAGCAGTCCAACAATAAAGCCACTGTGCCACTTAAGAATGAAAACAAAATAAATAACATAAACAACAACAAGAACAACAGCCCTTGTTCCTCTGCAGTTTGGGACTGCCAACACATGAGCAAAGAGAATGTGCTTCTTTCTCTGCGGGGCCATCTGAATAGATGGCTCAGAATTTAAGACACTTGGTTTGTGAAAACTTCAGGGGGTGCTTGGAAAAATTGCAGTATTTGAAAGCTGTCTCTGGCCTTATCAGAATTCTCCTTCACATGAACTCTGGATCGGTGGAGGGGAAGGCACAGCCCCTCTGACGAAACGGACAACCGTATCCTGATTCTGGAAAAGTGGCCCAAGCCCCTTCAAACGTGCGTTTAAAGATCGAATGGAGAGGTGACCCATCAAACACCTTGAAAACCTGGCAAAGTGCAAACTATTAGTAAGTGGGAGAGAGTTCCCAGCCCCAGGAGGATGGAACACGGCGCTTGGTTGCTATGGTAACGATCAGAGAACCCACTGAAGCAAAGCTGTCTGAATGAGCTGGCCCTCACTGGCCTTTGGTGTTGGAGGGAAGTGCTGAGAGGGAGGAAGCTGTTCATCCAGGTACCAAACTGAACTGAGAAAAAGAAAAAAGGAGGAAAAAAGTCGAAAAGAAAGAGCAAACGAAGCGGAAGTTTCAAGGCCCTCTGCGAGGAATAACAGTATAAATAACCGAAGACGTCTTGTAAACAGTCCGGTCATAACCCCGAACATTAAACAGCCCCGGTGGCATCTGGCGCATCGGCCTCGGCGGGCTGCGCTGGGGCAGTGAGGGAGCTGGGTCCCAGACTCCTCAGCCTTGCCTCTCTGTTTATCTCAACTTAATCTTCCCCTACGAACTATTCCGAAGCCTGGAAGATGTTTAAATTAAAGCCCAGTGCGCCGGAAGTCGAGGCGGGGGCTGCATGCACTGGCTAACCACAGCCCAAAAGTGGGGACGCGCGCGCTTGACATTGCGCTATTGCATGGGGTGCTACATTCATGAACAGGAAAGATGCAATGCTTGAAAAGTCTAGCGTAAAGGTTACAGAATTTACATTTCTCGTAGCTTCTATTATTTCCCTGCCAGGGTGCCAATGAGGGTTATTTGGGTTCACACCTCAAAATTTTAAGACGTGGCGGTTGTGGCCCAGCCCGCGTATCAGCAATCAGGTTTTGAGAATATAAAACAAGCGGATTAACCTAATCTGGGGTATTTTTTTTCTTGAACTGCATAACATCTTTAATCTTGCCCATTCTTTGTCTTCATTTTTATTATTTCTAATTATCTTGCAGGTAATTTGCAAATCTGGAAGAAGAAAGGTTTCGTTTTTTTTTAAGCCCTTTGAAATAGGATCCATATCACCTGAATGGAAATCATAATTAATCATTTGCTGTTCAGATTTAGGTGGAGATTTGAAAGAACAATTTTGATTACCTGATTGTCCCCATATGTCCCATTTTTGTAGTCCAAAAGAATTTTAAAGATCACACCAATGTCAGGGTATTTAGTAATATAAAAGAAAGATTTATTTTTGAAAGTAACAAAAACTTATTTGGAAAAAATATATCTTTAAGTGAATTACTTTATAAATGTGACTGTCAAAGTCAGCTATTCTAGGATCTACCTTTTACAACATACTGTACAAAAAAGATACATGTCGATAGGCTCTTCTCGTCGATTTACATATCTATAATTACATATTGCACTTGGACCAGCAAGGCTCACACTCAGTCATTCACGGAAGAAGTTAATCAAGTTAAATAGAAGGCAGTCTTTGCAAGTTGCCCGATTAATCTCCTCTGGTTTGGAAAGGAATCTCCTCGTCCGCTGTCAAGTGTTCTCGCAGGGTGGGACAGGAGAGGAGCTTTGGGAGGGGGAAGCTGGGACAGAGAGCAGGAAGGGCAGGGGTCCCTCGGGCCGCTCCCAGCTCCCCCCCCCCCGGAAGCGCGCCTTTCCCAGGCTCGAGCCTCCAAGGTCAGGACGCCGTGGTCCCACACAGGCGGCTGGCGCTCACCACTTCTTTCAGGTCACTCTCGGGTTTCCCCGCCACCATAAAGGGCCACGTCTGCAGGAGAGAGAAGAAGGAGGTAAGTGGCGGTGGAGGAGATGGACTCAAGGTCGGTGGGGAGGAGGGACTCGGTGGATTGGAGAGATTCGTTCTGTCAGTTTACTAGGTGTGTGAAGCCTAGTAAGCTTGGGGGTCAGTTCAAGAGGAGAAGCCCCAGGATGAGACTGGTTGACACAGTGACTGTGGCAATCGGGGCAGGTGTGTCAGAGACAATGAAGTTGGCTCAGGAGAGAGCACGGTTCAGAGCTATTGTTTATAGGATCACCGGGAGCAGTCGTCCACTCAATGGCACATAACAACAATATGTAGCTAGTACCATCTAGGGGCTGGGATACAGCGCACCACAGCGTTGGTGCCTCGTCACAGCGCGGGTGGCTTGGGGCCTTTCCCGTAAGAGCAAAGCGGATTCATACTGGAGACGGGCAGAAGATGCTCTCAGGGTGGCTGATGGTTGCCATAGCCTGGAGGAGGAGGTGACCATGAGATGAAGACCTGGCACCCACTGGGCCCTGGGCTCCAGGAAATCTGCTCCCTGTGGTCCTTCAAGGTTGGAGTGAGGTTTTTGAGTCCTCTTGCCCTTGTCCCATCTATTTTCCTCCATTGCACTCTCATCCATCACAAACTGTTTTCGCTACAGCTTCAAATTTAATAACTAGCTCTTAACGGGAGAGAAAAAATAATCCTAGTGAAAGAATATGCACACACATATTGAAGATAGTATTTTTGGACTCTGGCAGCATAACTTTCTTGACTTTGTTTTATTTTTATAATACAGCTACTTTATTTTTTTAAACCACTGGTGGCGCAGTGGTTAAGGTCTCGTGCAAATTGAAAGGTCAACTCAAAGGCAACATACATAAAAAGTTAGAAGGCAGTAGCAAGTGTACAAGTTTTAGGCAATACTTTCATTTTTGTTTTGGATTTTTAAAAGCTATTTATCCATCTTATTTTTTGGTAAACAACACTCCAATTTTTAATTTTTTTTATAAAAGAAAAATTTTTAGGGCAAATGTGTTTTTGCAGACCCCTTCCCCCAATTCCTGAAACCAATTTTGTGTGAAGACAATTCAGAGCACTCTTGACCAGTGCTGACTGATAAGAGTTGACTTTTAAGAGAAAAATCTCTCTTCTTATCATATATAAACAGAGGTGGTACTAAGTTATTGTTGTTTTTCTTTAAAGCCTGGAAGTTTTAAAGTTAAATCACGGGAAAAAGGAATTCAGATGGATTTCTTAAATGGTAAAATGCATTGGAGAAAAAATAGGGTCAAAGATCATTCAAGAATCTTAGTAGTTTTGTTGTTTTTCTTTTAACCTTAAATTCAAAGCACATTAGCTTCTCTAAGATCTAAGACAGCACGTTCTTAAATCTTGGAGGAGACTGGCCTCTTTTAATATTATTTATTGCTCAAATAGTAGGAGAGATTATACCGATTATGCTGATCTTTGCTACATAATCTGACATTTTAAAATGTTAGTTGGTGAAGTTTTGGAGGACTTTCATGAATTTGTGGGGAGGTGTCTGGATGTGTCATTATCAAATGGGCCTAAATGTAGTTGGAGTTGGAAAAACAAAAACCAAAAAAAACCCCCCAAAAAAACCCAAAACAACACCCAACCCGATTGACTTGGTTTTGTTTCCAGGAATTAGAAAGGGAAAATCAAGCTGTAGTCTTCCGCTGAAAGAAGAACAAAAGGGTTAATAAAACAAATACAGTCCAGTAGGAGCAAACTCTGGTAAATAGAGGAGAATCCCGGGGAAACCCTTCCAAGTGCGCGCAGCCTGGTCAGTGTCGCGGTCCTGCCACAGCCTGCCACGCCAGCGGCTGGGTTGGCTCAGGCGCGGAGGTTCTTTCAACGGTGCCAGCTTAATGCACTTGCAAATCTCTAATTGGGCTGCCACGTCAAACAAGGACATAAATCATGAGAGGGAAGAGAGCCCGGGCTGTGTGGGGACCGCAGTCTGATTCCGAGAGGGTCTAGGCCTGTGATCACCCCCATCCAACCCTGGAGCCCGGCGGGCACTCACACCCCGTGCACAGGGGGCCTGGACAGGGCGCGCGCTGGGGCAGAGGCACCGGGGGCGCGAGGGTCACTCAACTTACCAGGTTGACCGGGTGAATGTAGCCGTTCTCGTACTTGTCGTTGGCCAGGATCTGCCTTAAGTGGGCGATGTAGCTGGACGCCAGCCTGAGCGTGTCCAGCTTGGAGAGCTTGGTGTCCGGGGGCACCCAGGGCAGGGTGGTCTTGAGCCTGGAGAAGGCCTTGCTCAGCACCCGCATCCGGGCCCGCTCGCGCGCATTGGCTGCGTTGCGCTGGACCTGCTTCCCCTCCTGGCTGACACCGCTCAGGGGGCTCTTCTTGGAGGGCGCCTTCCTCCTCTTGCCCAGGCCTCCCCGGCCCTTCTGGGGAGACCCGTTCTCGCAGTTAGAGCTCTCCTCCGTGCTCTCGTTGGAAGTCACGAACTCCTTGTTCGAGTCCATTTTCAGGCCATCGCATTCCAGCATCTCCACCTCTTGAAGGTCTTCTACATCGCTGAGGGAGCCCGTGGACATGTTTGCGGCCGAGGGCGTGAGAGTGAGAGGAGCCGAGGAGGAGGAAGGACCGATCCCTCTGGTCCCTTGGTGTTCAGAGTTGAGGGTCTGGTTGGGCCTTGCTCCGCTTCCCTTGGGCAGAACTGTGGGGAGGAATGGCGAGGGCTTCAGCGGGAAGGAGCAGGGCGCTCTCTTTCCCCACCCCCGGAGTTGGAGTGGCCGTAGGGGAGTGTGAGAGAGCGCTGAGGAATTTGGTGGACACTAGGAATTTATCTGGGGAATAGAGAGGCGGATCCCTGCAGCCCAGGGGAGGGGCCTGGTAGGCCCCAGCCACCCTCTTAGACCCCTTTCCCATCCCCGGGAAACTCTACCTCCAGCACAGACCCTCAATCCCAACTTGTCATGCAAATCTACTCAACTTCAACCTGTGAACACCTCCCACTGCTGCTCCGGCTGGGAAGAAGCGAGCCCCACCCAGCCCTCTTAGGTCCCTACTCACACCCCAAAATCTTCTCTACCTCTTCAGAGGGGAAAGCAGGTTATTTCAAAGAAGTTGTGGAAAGGACCAGATCATTTTGGCATTTTTTTTTCCCCTGGGCATTTTGGTCACAAATCTCTACCACCTCAAGGAAAACAACAACATCAGTTAAAATCAAGGCAGGGGTCACTTGCCGCTTCTCACTATCCTCTAAGTATCCTGTAGCTTTTCTAAATGTCTCTTCACTTTACCTGGGCTAAAAGGAAAAAAAAAAAGGAAAGAAAAACCTAGTGCCCCTTAGAATCGTTATAGAGATGGCAGGGGGGGAAAAAAGGAGCAAGAAGAATGATAATGCATCTGGTTTTAGACTTCTAGTTTAAAGACATCTCAAGGAATCACCAGTGTGACCTTGTACAACCACATACACACTCTCTCTCTCTCAACTTTTCCTTATATTTCCTAGAAATGCATTTTTTAGTTGGCCTCAGACATCATCTTGCTCCGGTTTCTTGTGATGCATCCTTTCCATCACTTTCTGATTGAATTCTGAGCTTCTTTTTGGAAGGTTTCGGTCTCTGACTCCTAACTAAGGGGCAGATTCCTAGGCCTTTTCTTTAAATTCTCCTTGCTCCCAGGGTGTGAGATTGACATTGTAAAACACAGGGCAGTAGCATCTCTCTGAGAAGAGTTCCCTGCCTTCCCTCAATCCAGCCCCAGGCTTCTTTTCTGGGGAATAAGAAAGTCTTAGAGGGAGTAACTAGAACAGAAAAGGAAGCCAGAAGTGAAGAAAGCGGTAAAATGAAACCAAGAAGACTGAATGCATGAGTCACTTTACTGAGATTCTTCTCCAGGGTTTATTTCTTTGCAGTAAGACACTGAAGATGAGGGTTTAGCAGTCAAATCCAAGCAAGGTTTGTAAGGCTTTGGCTCAGCATCTACACCCCTTCACTACCTTAAGATATCATATCTCTAATCCTGAGCTCAGCTGGGAATTCACCAACCTCTGGCGTTTTGTTTTGTTAGCAGGGTCTTGTTTGCTTTCCCCCATGCGGCAAACTAAACAGATTGTCAGCAAATCAGTCGTTATTAATGAATTAGCGAGACCATAATATCTTTGCCAAGGATTCAAAATTTGTTAATCACCATCACAGAGATTTATGAGCCCTCTTATTTTCTGTTGTTTGTGCAGGTGGAGATTTAAATGACCATATCCACCATCAAGATTTATTGCGAGAGTGATTGATGTTATAAACCAGGAAAAGGATTCTTCCCACAGCAGGGAGAACAGCAATATCAAGTTGAAGTTGCTTTTGTCTTCATGCATAAATGACCCAGGGCTGCAACACAGAAAATATCATAATTTAATCTGAGATCCAAGACAGCGTTCAAAGAACACCCAGCAGGCCTGTTATATATTTCGTCACTGATTTCCCCGACCCATTTTTCCTTTGATTTATCCTTCTTTGTCACAATCTTGGTGAGACATGAAAGTTAGGTTATTTTTAGACTAAAAGAACTATGTAGAAATAGGCATTGGCCAATATTTTATCAAACACACACGTATGCGTAGCTTCTGCAATATCTGTAAATTAACCACAAATAATTTATCAATATATGTGCACACCAGACTCTAGGAGAGTATGGAAATTAAGAATCAGAACTAGGATCGTGTACATACTAAGTTATTCAGCCACACAGATTTGTCTTCTTGGAGTTTTGTTGATTTGGTTCATTTCTCTCCTAACTTTAGCCTGAAAGACTGTTTGGGAATAGTTGTAGTTGTAGAATCCATTCCATGGGATAGATTTCTGAGTCTGCATACTCTTTATTGGAAATTAAAAAAAAAAGTACTTATTTCTAGAAAGGACCAAAACAGGCCTCATGCTTCTAGCTGGGCTTTGTTTCAGCAATTTCTTTGCTTTAGATAAGCAGGAATTAAGTTCCATGTCCACTTACCGTGTAGTGATGTTTTGGGTCCTGGGCAAGGGTTAGTGGTTTGATAATGAACTTTGGGCTGTTTCTGAAAATCTCTTAGGGGTAGTTGCTAGTTGGGAGCAGCTGCGGAGGCTGTCATTTGTACATCAAGATTATAACTTAGAAGTCTTAAAGTAGAATAAGATGAATAATACTGTCCCCCTCCCTTTGACTCTTTGTATCTATTCCTGTTAATAAACACTTAGGCACAAATGGGTGGGGAAAATGACTTATTGGAGGATTCTATGGAGCAAATCAGTTAGGCGGTAACTTAAGCTGTGCCAAATTCTCCTAAAATATAAACTATATTCTGTGAGAAGAGAAGCACTTTTGAGAAGCTGAGTTAACTCTTTCTAGAACAAGAGAAATAAGCTGAACATTATTGTTTCAAAACCCTACATGAAGAACTGGTGGTGTGAAAGTATTAGGTTGTTTCGAAAGTTCTTACCTTATTTTCCAGGACCAGTTTAAATCCGGGAAGCATCTGGCCAGTTTGTCGCATGCTTCCCCACAATTTGTTTCTGCAACCACGACTATCTTGGAAAGATTTTAATGCTAAGGAAAATTTATCTCCAAAAGTTGTAAAATGAGGGTTAGGCATGGAAATGTATCCTTGAACTTAAATCCTGGTTTATCAACCGATAACTTTTCAGGAAGTTTCAATTAGATTGAGTTGTTCTTGGATGGAGTAATTTTCTTCTCTTGCTTATGAGAAGGAACACAACACAGGCTTATTTTGAACTGACCTTGTCTGCCATTTCTTTTCTTTCCCAGGGAAAAAAAAATCACAAGCTTCCAGATTCAACTTTTAATACTTTTTTCCTACATCATTTGATCAGCAGACATACAAACTGGCAAATAGGCAAAACTAACAATTCTTTCTTTCTTTGTGTGTTCCCTTCGGGAAGGTTACCCATCAGGATGTATTCTGTCTCCATACCTTTTAAATCTGTATGCAGAACAGATCACCCAGGATGCTGGGCTGTATAAGGAAGAATGTGGCATCAGGATTGGAGGAAGATTCATCAACAATCTGCATTATGCAGACGACACAACACTGCTTGCTGAAACTGAGGAGGACCTGAAGCGCTTGCTGCAGAAAGTCAAGGACTGAAGCCTTCAATATGGACTGACTCTCCACATCAAGAAAACAAAGATTCTCATCACTGGGCCAGTTGGCAGCATCATTATGGATGGTGAAGAGATTGAGATAGTTAACAGTTTTAGTTTGCTTGGCTCCACAATCAACAGTCTTATTACCAGCAGCTAGGACATCAGGAGACGAATTGCACTGGGAAAGGGACCTCTCCAGAAAACTGAAGAGAAACGACATCAGGCTGGAGACTAAGGTGTACCTGATCCAAGTCATAGTCTTCGCAATTGCATGCTATGTGTCAGAGAACTGGTCAATGACTAGGGATAATAGAAAGAAAATTGATGCCTTTGAGCTGTGGTGCTGGAGAAGAGTGTTGAATATATCATGTACAAACAGATCCATCCTGGAGAGGGTTAAACCAGGCTACTCCTTGGAGGCAAGGATTCTGGGGCTTTGTCTGACATACTTTGGACATGTTGTAAGGAGAGACAGGTCCTTGGAGAGGGACATCATGCTTGGTAGAGTAGAGGGACAGCGCAGGAGGGGAAGACCCTCTATGAGGTGGATTGATTCAGTGACTAGGGTAATCGGGATGGGTGTGTCAGAGGCAATGAGATTGGCACAGGATAGAGCAGGGTTTAGGGCTGTTGTACATAGGGTCGCTATGAGTCGCAAACGACTCGATGGCACATAACAACAACAACACTTCTAGGAGAACAAACAGGTTCGTCCTGGAGAGGGTTAAACCAGGCTGCTCCTTGGAGGTAAAGATTCTGAAGCTTCGTCTGACATACTTTGGGCATGTTGTAAGGAGGGACCAGTTCTTGGAGAGGGACATCATGTTTGGAAGGGTGGAGGGACAGCACAGGAGAGGAAGACCCTTGATCAGTTGGATCAATTCAGTGATTGGGGTAATGGGAGTAGGTGTGTCAGAGACAGTGAGGTTGGCACAGGATAGAGAAGAGTTTGGGACTTTTGTACATAGGTAGATAGGGTCGCTATGAGTCGCAAGCAACTTGATGGCACATAACAACAACAACAACAACAACAGCAACAACAACAAGAACTCTTCACTTCCAAGTAATTATCTCCTGAGCAAGATTATTATTTGATACTAACTATGCAATGACAGCATCCACTTCCTAAACAGCATCCTCTGGAAACTCTCTGAACATTGATAAAAGGTGATAGTTGTGGAAGAGCTTCAGGCCTTTTGTTCATAGGATCACTCTGAGTCACACTTGATTCAACAGCAATCAACAACAACATGAAACAACAACAGCCCACAAACCCAAACCAATACTTTGCAATGTTCTGTGTAAGCTAGTGACTTTTTCGGGATAATATACATTTGCCAAGCCACCCTTTGTTTTAGGGAACTCTTGGTGGCCTGGTCTGTAGAGAGTGGCACTGCTAACTCAAAGGTAGCGCCTTACTGGTTTGAATCCACCAGTGCCTCTGTTGTAGGAAGAT